AGGTGGGGGTGAGCGAGAGCCACAGGACACCGGCGGGGGCCGGGAAAGCCGCGGGAGGGCGTGAAGCCTCACGCTGTCCCCGCGGGGGACGCTCCGGTCGGGGAGCATCGTTTCCGGGCGGTGACACCGCGTGGTGGAGTGGAGTGATTTACAGGAGGAATTTTTAAAATAAAATAAAGTAGCTGGGAGGAGACAGTCGCGGTGAGGGCCAGCAAAGCGGGTACTTGCTTTGTTGCCTTCGGTCTGTACCTCGCAGCCTATGATCACATCGTACGCGCTTTCAGGAAGCCGCTAGCCTGGTCATGGCACACACACGTGCGCATGCACAGACAAATGCAGGCAGATTATATAGTCTTCGAGGGGTTACTGTTACAGCAGCCCTTCAGTTGTGTCCGAATATGGGAAGTATCAAGTAACTGCTGAACTGTCTCTGATGAACCTCCAATTTGACTTGACTGCATTAGGGTTTTTTTAGGTAATACTTAGTCATCCAGTAAGACAGCCAAGCTGTTTTAAAATTCGGTATTACATACATTAGATATACCTATGTTAGAAAACGGCATATCATCATTGAAGGAGCGGTCAGGGCATAATGCGTTCAGACCCGTGACTGTGGTGTAAGTGCAAAACAGTGTAGTGGGAATTTAACTTCACCATTTGTGTCACTTCAAACAAATTTCAGATTCATACTCTTTGTTCTACAGAATCTTGTCATTTGTTTTCATGTAAAATTACCATGTGACAGCTGAGCTTGGAAAACGCCACAGAAATCAACTCTTCAAATAAGTGGCACGCATAGCATGTGGCAGTTCAGTTTTGTAGTTTTAGTATTATTTCTTTCTAGACTGCTGCTCTACTAAGTATTCAGGCATTTTGAAATAAAAGGGCACGCGTGTGTGTGGGTCCTCTATCACTCTGTGTTCGTACCATTCCTGTGATTGCTATGATGATAATGTGAAAACTTCACTGCAAGCGGGCACTTTAGTTGCACAATCCTTGTGTTCAAACTTATGATGAGTGCAGTTTCACTTGCACTTCTACTCAGCGTTCACCAGCTTGTTTTGCAGGACTGCGGAGCAGACTGTGCTAAGTTCCAGAAGAGCGAACTGGAGTACAAGTTCAACAAGAAAGCCTTAGAAAGGCCCTATACCTCTAAGCACTCTTGGGGAAAGACCTATGGGGACCACAAGCGCCACTTGGAGTTTAGTCATGACCAATATAGAGAGCTCAAGAAATATGCAGAAGAGATTGGCATTTTCTTCACAGCTTCTGGTATGGATGAGGTATGTAAGCCATACTGACATAACAGGCAGAGTCCAGGTGTTGTGTCTGTTATTACTTAGGTGTGATAGTTCTTACATAAAAAGAATACTAAATATGTGTGGACATTATATTTCTAAATGAGGAAACTAGAGTAATTGTACTTCTGCCAGTTCATTTGTGTCTCTACAATTTTTGAGTAGATGGCTGAACATTTTGGAAGACCTGCCATGTATGCTGAGGGATTTATGCACAGTAAATCATATTAGAGACAAGGCCTCAGCTGAACTCGGTAAACAGTCAAGGCTTTGAGAGTTTAGATCAAGACTGCAATCTGACTGCTATCTGGTGTATATTGGCTGCAAGCATTTCAAACTTCCCCTCTGTATTTAAACCAGATTCCTTTCTCAACCTAATCCCTATTGTTCCCTCTTTTTTTTCCTTTCTGCTGTTTACTAGACCCCAGTTGGTGTTTCTAAGCAGTAGAAATGCTTATATTCCTTTTCCTTTTCCTAATCTCTTGGAGAGGGTCTCCACCTTGCCCTGTTACTCCTGAAGCATTTACTGATTTTTGTCAGTGGGCTCTTGAACAGTCAGTTGCCAGCTTGTAAATTCCATGAAGCTCATCTGCTGCTGTTCCCTCTTAAGAGATGTATACTTCTTTAACTCTTGCATGTTGCCTACCTCAAAATGATGTTAGTTACAGTATTAACAAATGCAATGTACAATTGAAAAGTGTAAACTGGAAAGTTCAGGTAACAGTTAAACCTCAATATAGATCAGAGATTACAGATTGTTTTACTTTTCTTTGTGGCCTAGAAAATACAGAGAATGAAACTGAAAGAGACCCTCCAGAAGTAAGCTAGCCACTCTTGCACAAGGCAAGCACAGCAATGTCCCTGTCTTTCTGCAAGTAGCCTTATCCAGGATGGGACAAGGATGGGATTTATTTAATGTTTTAAGGTGATCTGTTCAGTGCCTCACTCTCCTTACTGTCAGAGAGAATTCCTGATGTATCAGCATAATTTCCTTTCTCATAATTTTTTGTCCTGCCTCATCTAACATAAAAATTCATACTTTTCTTGTCTCTCCTCTCTGTGTATTTGAACATCTTTTTCCTGTTTTGTATTCTCTGGACTAAGCAATTCAATTCCTTCAACCTTTTTATGCTGTCTTTTGTCCTGTGGCCATTCTCACTGCTTCTATCAACTTGTTTTCCTATTGACTAAAATCCTTGAATTGCTGTGCCCCCGCTGAGATGGTATGAGCACCAAATACCATAAAAAATTACTTCACATGTCTGACAGACAAAAAGGTGTTTTGCTTGTATTGCAATAGCCCGATGCCATGGACTTAGAAATAGATCTGTGAAAAGAGGGTGTTGTGATGTTTCTTTTACTATTATCTTCGTGTCTAGGAGACCTACTGAACACCACCTACTCCTTTAAGAAAAGACTAATTAAATCCAGTAGTCTTGGACTTCTATATCTGGGATCTTAAAGACCCATATGCCTTTGGGGAGGGGAAAAATCACACTATTTCTTTGATGTTAAAACCTCCAGCTTCTAAAGGCTACAGTGCAATGCAGAACACCTTTCATACACAGCAGCTAAGATCACTTTCCACCTCTGGGATCCCTCTTATTCTGTGGGATGCTGTGCTCCTTTGTGTGTGGCCTCATCAGCTAATTAACAGTACTGATACAACTCTGTGCCTTCTTTTTTGAACAGTTACATTACACAGCTCCTAAGATTTCTGGTGGCATTTCTGCAAGACGTGGGTTTGGAACTTACGGCAAACATTGCATAAATTGACATAATAAGTCTTTGAGAATACATTAACTTCTGCAAATGGAACATAATCTCTGGAACTCCAGCTATGTCGAAGAGGATAAATTGTGTGTTTAACTGTATGAGGAAATAATCAATTAATTGATGTGTGAAGTAAATATAAAGGCTATGAGTAATTCCTCTATCGACTCTATCTCCAGTGTGTACTGGAGACAAAACAGGATCCCACTGAACCACTCCCTTTAATGTCGTCCCAATTATTTGAGATTACTTCCTATTCCTTGAATCTCTTACAGAAAAGCTGCCAATTTTCAAGAGATATTTACCTAATGAAGAGTGGCCTTAGATTTGAGGTTTATCTGTCATATTTCATTTTGTGCAATCTCCTCAGATTAGATCTGTGGCTTTTTAATATAGTGTATTCATTGTCTTCATGCATAATGCATCTTAGTGAATAAACTATATTAAAGAGATGTTATGCATCCTAAGTACAAGAAATTGGATAGGCATCATAATTATGATAGAAAAATTAGATTGAAGATGTGATTCTCTTTTGGATATTAGCACTCTGGCACTGAGAAAATTTGACTGCAACAAGGAGTGAGCTCAAGAAATTAAAAGTGTTTGTGGGTGGTTGAAGGGGGACAAAGTTAGGTAACTATTTCATTATTTTCCCCCAGAGGTAAATGGGGGATTTCAGTATCTTTTGCCTATGATAGGTTTGGGATTTTCTTCCTTAAAAGTACTAATTCTTAAAAGGCCACTTACTGCCTTCAGTAATTCCTGAATTGTCTTCAGTATAGCACACACATTTTTAGAAGTATAATTAACGTTTGAATATATTAGTATAATTAACGTTTGAATAAACTGTTTTATAGTCTTTTCTTCGGTGTATTTTATATTTATTTTCTAGTCTCTCTCCTAGAAGCAAATCCATTTTGGATTTCTCTTTTTGGGCACTTACCTTTTTTCAGGTGCTTATTCAATATACTTATACAAGTTTTCACAGTGACATCTATTCAGGAAAACTACCTGTAGTTTTAAACACTCTGTTTGTGGTTTAGTTAATTCTGACCTGCAGAAGACTGCCTGCATGCCTGCAGTACATTTCTTCAACAGGCAAGCTCCCATCTGCAGGTAGTTGCTCTCTCTGGTAGTACCAAAAAAAAAGCAAGAATGCTGTGGCCCACAAGCTCATTATGAAGTTAGAGGAGCAGTGGAGCTCACCTGCACAGAGGAGCTGTACCTACAGCTGGCTTGACCAGCTATGGCTGGGAGACCAAAGAGACTGCCTTGAGACAGGGATCCGAGTCAAAAACCTGTGGAAAATCTGTTTTTGTAATAGAATTATAAAAGAAGGCACCTCAATAATACTTCACTTGGAGAGAAGTCAGAAACTAATATCCTCGGAATACTAAGTGTTATTTCAGGAGCAGTGTATTTTGGGGGGATATATATACATGACCTATTTAACTAACTTTTGGCTTTGCTATTTTGAAGGGTGGTTTATTTCCCAGCATGGTAATTCTTTATCTTTGATCCAGCTGAAGTGGTGTGTTAAAATGAAGTGATTTCTTTTCCTTGTAGATGGCTGTGGAATTTCTACATGAACTGGATGTTCCATTTTTCAAAGTAGGATCAGGAGATACAAACAATTTCCCATATTTGGAAAAGACTGCAAAGAAAGGTAAGCTTTTCTTTTGAGCCATCTTGGTAAACATCACTGTGTCTCAGTAGATCAGTTATTAGATCTTTCCTCCAATTGATCTTGGAAAAAAATCTCAAGTACCTTTATAAGAAAATCACTCTCAGTCTTGGAAAAAAGGGTTCACCCAGTTTCCTTTTCTACTGAATTCTTTTACTCCAAGAATTTAATGTAATCTTGTGTCGCTTTCATACAGACCTAGGACAAAACATGTGCATGTTTTCTAATGGCTAGGTCGCCCAATGGTTATTTCCAGCGGAATGCAGTCAATGAACACAATGCATAAGGTTTATCAGATTGTGAAGCCCATCAATCCAAACTTCTGCTTCCTGCAATGCACCAGTGCATACCCACTTCAGCCAGAGGATGTCAATCTCCGTGTTATATCGGTCAGTGAATAACTCAGAGTGTGCTGTGTGTAGGGTACCAGAGAAGGGCTATGCACTTTTATTGAGATATATTTCCAGGTCTTAGGCATGCTGGAATTTGCTTCTGAGAAGTCAGAAGATGTATCATGTTCCTCTAATTCATGCAAGTGTTGAAGTAAAAATACCCATTGGATCCTCTTCTAGCAGAACTCAGCTTTGAGGAATACGATAAAAGATATTACTGGAGTATTCACAATTACACAGAGGAAAATATGAAATGTGGTTAACAGGTTAACTAACTTTGTAGTGCAAAGAAAAATTATGTAGACTGTTACCATTAAGAAGGTGCATGGAATTGAGAACATAATTCTAAATAGGGGGCTAGACCAGAAAGTTTTGTTAAAAACCCTTCATGTGAATATTGGAGCAATGATAAAAATAGATTAGGCCCTTGTATAGTTTCCTTCGCTGAAAATACTACTTGGATATGCCTGATAATGATGCAAGAAAATTTTGCCAAATTGGCCAGTGTTCAAGCACTTGCCTAGCTTTATGCACATGTACTACATTATTTTTAGTAGAACAGGACATGGCTGCATTTGATTGCCTTTAGGATTGGGTGACTGTCCCCTATGTATGGCTGAAAGGATTGCTTCAGATTTTAAATAATGGGGTTCAAGAAATCTGCTTTGGATACAGGTGAAGTTTGAAGAATACAACTGAATTAAAAGGAAAAGCATAAGAGAATTTGTAGAATAGAACCTCCTTTTCCTTTCAATATGGATAATCCTAATGAAACTCTTAAAACATGATGGTCGGTAATGCAGTGTGACTTGTTCAACATAAAAAAAAATTCATTCTCAGCATAACCAACTGCTTGTTTTGGGGCACAGTAATTGTCCATAGTTTTTATTGCAGTTATCACTGTTAAATGTGCTTTGTCCTTGCAACTACTGCCTTGGTAATTCAGACCAACTCTCTTATGATTCAAGGCGTATCAGTCAGCTTTTCCTGATATTCCCATTGGCTATTCGGGGCATGAAACTGGCATAGCCATTTCAGTGGCAGCTGTTGCTATGGGTGCTAAAGTAGTGGAACGCCATGTGACTCTCGACAAAACATGGAAAGGAAGTGACCACCAAGCATCCCTGGAGCCAAATGAACTGGCAGAGTTAGTGAAAGCCATCCGTACTGTGGAAAAGGCAATGGGTTCTCCAGTCAAACAACTCTTGCCCTGTGAAATGGCTTGCAATGAAAAGGTAACTTTTGCTTGTGATTCATGTATAGCTGAAACTCATTTAAACCTATAGCTAATAACTCTATATCCAGAAAAATAGCTTGCTAGTTGTTTATTGCAGCAGTGTTTCTGCTTCTGCACTCAAAAATTTCTGCTGCTAAGTAGCAGTGTTTATGCTTAGCGCACTGTAACGTTAGCGTAGACCTGTCATTTTCTATAAACTGCTATTTCTGGCAGTCAGTAACTATTTTTACCAAAGCATAATGTTGACAATTTTGAGTATAATGGAGTTCTATGTATATCATCCAGTGGTTAACCAGGTTGAATAGAATCATAGAATCATTTAGGTTGGAAAAGACCAGTAAGATCATCGAGTGCAACACTGCTAAGTCCACCACTAAACCATGTCCCAAAGCGCCATGTCTACACATCTTTTAAATACCTCCAGGGATGGTGACTCAACCACTTCCATGGGCAGCCTGTTCCAGTGCTTGACAACTCTTGCGGTGAAGAAATATTTCCTAATATCCAATCTAAACCACCCCTGGTGCAACTTGAGGCCATTTCCTCTTGCCCTCTCACTTGCTACTTGGGACAAATGATCGACACCCACCTTGCTACAATTTTCTTTCAGATAGTTGTAGAGAGCGATAAATCCTCCCCTCAGCCTCCTTTCCTCCAGGCTAAACAACCCCAGTTCCCTTAGCCGCTCCTCATAGGATTTCTGCTTTAGATCCTTCACCAGTATCGTTGCCCTTCTTTGGACACGCTCTAGCACCTCAGTGTCTTTCTTGTAGTGAGGGGCCCAAACTGACCACAGTATTCAAGGTGCAGCCTCACCAGTGCCAAGCACAAAGTACTCAGTAATAGGAATAATAAGTCTTTATGGCTGTATACGAGCTGCTTTTACACTAAGCTAAAATACTAATCAGTCTAAACAGATTCCCTCCCTTATGATTCTGACAAATTCCAGTGAGCCATTATCTGATTTCAGAAAGGATCTGGATGTTCCCAGCAGCCTAGTTACAGTGAAGGTTTCCATGCTAACTCAACTTTTATTTGGAATAAGAAGTAACAGGGAGGGCAGTTCCACACAACCTGTTCCCAAGTAACTACATAATATTTTTTATCCTTTTTTGGTATACAAAGCCTAACTTAAACTTTGTGTGTGACTTAAACTTTTTTTTTCTCCCCTGTAGCTGGGAAAGTCTGTTGTGGCAAAAGTGACAATTCCTGAAGGTACAGTACTGACACTTGACATGCTGACAGTGAAGGTAGGAGAGCCTAAGGGCTTTCCCCCAGAAGCCATCTTCGATCTGGTGGGCCAGAAGGTTAAAAAAAATATCGAAGAAGATGAAACCATCACTGAGCAAGCAGTGGAAAATCATGTCAAAAAAGTGAAGTGCTAAACCAAAGCACTCCATTCCACATTTCATGATGTAGTACTGTACTACTGCACAACATATTTAAGTATAGCAGCATGGTAGATTAGAAGAAGGGGATGTAATTATGAGGATCCAAGCAGGTGAGAATTTTCAGGTTCTCATTAGTAGAAAATTTCTGCAGCAACTGGGTATAAATTATGAAGAGCAATTTTATTAGAAACCATATAACATTGTATTTAGAAAATACCATGTTCCTCCTTTCTCCATTCCACTTAACCTAGATTAATTTGGAGTTTTGCCAAATCTAAGACCACAGTCTGCTGCTTTCCAGCTTCCCTTTTCTGGTAAGAATACACTAGATCACAATAATTTTGTCTACACTTTGAATTGTTCTAACACTATATCTTTTGATGTTCCTCTCTTCTCTGCCATTTTCCTCACCCCTGTGGTAACAGGATGCTAGTTGGAGTTGAATACAGATAAGTGAAAGTTAACATACACTGAACAGAAAACTGCACAAGCAATTGGATGGATTTTTCTTAAGGTGAAAGCCTTAAAAGTCTCAGGATAAAGCAGTGGGTTGCAGGAATCTGCATTCTGGGGAAAATGAGCTCCTTGAGAAAGCTAGGTTCTCAAGAGACAATACCAAGAAAGGAAGCAAACTGGCAATGTAGAAAGGTCCCATTTAAGGGGCAAGAGAAAGAGCCTTTTTGTACTTTTTGTGAACTGAAAAGATTCAAGCCAGACGGATTAAGGGGATGAAAAATAGATCTGAGATGGATCAGTGGAAATAAACTTAACCTATGCTTCAAAAAAATGTCAAAAGCATCTGTTGTGAGCTGAGTGAAGCCTGGAATCTTGTATCAATTCTGCAGTGCATTGGCATATCTCTATTTGTATCTGGGGGCAGCTTCGCAGGTAGGAAGCCAAATGCTGGTGAAGATTCAGCAGCCTCCTTCCTGTACTAACAAGCAAATAACACTGGGTTGGATTTTTTCCCCCGACACTGGTGGTTGAGACAGCTGAGGCTGGCTGCTTAACCTAGATCACATCACTGTGCTTCAGCATGATGGTCAGTGCTCCTCTTGTGTGCTCTGCTCTTGCATCACAGCTTCTCACTTTTCAAGTAAGAAATGCAATCTCACTCCTATCAGCCTGCTGCTCGTCCCTTTGACCAAGAAGGAGCCATGTGGCAGCAGCTGCAAACCAGGCATTCCTCAGTTAGCTTGGTTAGCACAGAACTGCGTTGGTATAATTCATCTGCATTTTTCTGTGGTGGAATCATTTACTAGTGATGATTATTTGGAACTTGCTACCTCTTGGTCATGAGTTGAAGTATCTTGAATTTGGTGGTGGTGTTTCTGTACCTGTGAGCTGTTTACTTTCAAAATGTTTACCCTTCTGCAATTCTGAGGAAACTGTATTCGTATCCTTAAACTGGGAAGGAGAGATTATTTGAATCATGTTCTTGACCATATGTGAGCTCTGATTGATGCAATACGTTTGCCTTACATCAAAAAAATACTCAATTGTTAAAAGATTTTTTTTAATATATTTTAAATATGAAAAATAAATTTAGCTTATAAAACAAGCTATTGTTTTTGCATTTCAGCCTATGGTCGGACCTTGCCTTTGCCACCACCTGTGATGATTCCAGGGCCTTTAGTATTTGAACCTCGTAAGATTACCAGACCTGCTTCAAGTAGCAGTGGTTCTTCACTCCGGGAAGGCTGGTCCTAGAGGCTGCTGTAAACATAGGCTCCAAAAATTTTCAGGACTTTAATTAATGTATTGGGGGGAAAAAAAAAAATTATCCCTATACAGAAACTTGCAAGCTGTCACTCCTAGTTTTATGTGAGCATACCTTTGTCCGGCAGCAGTTAAAGAGCCTTTGCAAATAGGACACAAAAATAAATTAAGCAAAAGTGCCCCACTGACCTAGTGGTTTTATTGCACCTGTGGGTCCTCCAGGCATTTAATCTTCTATTGGGGATGGTACACAGCTGTTTCGTGTGCTTTCACTGTGCGGGGAAGAATAGGGCCACCCAGAAGCCCAGTTCAGAGTCTGTGTCAAAGTAAGACCAGCTAATGGCTATTAAGTGTGGCTACAGAAGCTCCTACTTCAGCTTTACTTGAAGGGACCTTTCCAACAGTTGGTGCCAGTTTTGATTTTTCCGAGATGATACTTACATATGAACTAATTCACTTAGTGCATTTATTATCCAAATCTGACCTTGTTAACTATAATACTATGTAATATATGAACTTGAAGCTTGAACCAAACTAAACCTATTACCATACACAATTGTAGCCTCTCCAGGCAGATGAGGGGGGAAGCTCATAAAAAAAGATGGCAAGATCCAGATTCAAATCTGAGTTGTAATAGGCTTCTTTCAACCAGACTTTTTCCATTTTGCAAGTTGGAAAAAACCACAAAAAATACTATATACGGCATTTTAGGGGGTACATCAACACCATTTATAAAAGCCAGATCACCTTCCCCCATTGAAAAATGCATATACATTAAAAATTACAATTGGCTTTCTTGAATTTAACTGTTACCTTCTAGAAGCATCACAGTTACAACTTTCATATGACAAAGATTAATTCATGTAGATCATTGCTAAAGTGGCTTTCATAGAAAAAGCATGAAATAGTAGGCTTTATTTTGCTTTGTTCCTTATGTTAGTTTGCATATTCCAATGGACCCTTCCCAGAGCCTCAAGGCTGGGTAAACTGGTTCTGTGAACTTGCAGCGGAAGGTGTGCAAATGAGTCATGCCATCAGTGATGTTATAGAATGAAAGGATTCCTGCTTCATAATCCAGAAAAATGCCAATGCGATCAGGATCATCTTCTATTAGGATGGGGATTCTCTCCCCCTTGTGAAATGCCCAGTATTCAAAATCAAACTTCTTAAGGCACCAAGATGCTCTATTCCAGCCCAGTCGACAGATTTCAGAGTCTCCTTTCCTGCCAATGGAAGGGTAGGCTGCACCAATCCACCATCCTGCTCCAGCATGAAGCAGGTCAACTTCCCAGTAATGGCTCCCAGAGAGGAATGCATCTCTGCTTAGCACTTGCCATAATTTATCGAATCTCTGGGGTCCACAAGGGTAAAATATCCTCCTCCAATTACGGCTTACTACAAGACGGTCATCAGACAATTTCAGCCTTGGGTGAAGGCTGTCATATTCCCAGGTTGGTGATCTTGCATCTGCAGTCAAAACCATAAACATACTTAGTACATTTATCATGGCTCTTGAAAGAAGTACAAGTGATAAAAAACCTGCAAAGGAGCCCACAGCTAGCAGTGTCTTGGAACCTGCTGTTTTGCAAGGAAAAACCTGACATTGTTCATAGAAAGCACTGCACTATTTATATGCACTGATGCTTTAAAGATCCATAAGCTTTAAAGCAGGTCAGTATGTCAGTCAGTATATGCATGGTTCACAAATGAGAAGATGAATACAGCTAGGTAGGGAACAAACACTGACAACTTCTGCTTTATGCAGAATAGTTGGAAACTTCTGGTGGGATCACAGCCTAAGGGTTTTAGAGAGCACTGGAGTGGACTCTTGGGTTGTGAGATCCCATTCCACTGAAATCCCATTTGAAGATGCACTAGGAGTCTGTCTCTTACAGAGGCACCACAGCTCTGAGCAGCAGCATCCTGTACATTGCAAAGGAACAAGTTAACCAGCTCCCAGAGAATTTATAGCAGTTCACTTAATCTGACATTTAGAAAAGAAAAATCACAGTCTGAAACGACACCCTAGAAATCACTGTCTTATTCAGCAGCAGCTTAGAATATTTTTACTATGAAGCAGCTGTTGCAGGACTGGAAATCACAAAGCCAGGAAAAAAAAAAATCTATAATCAAACTAAACAAGTTTGAAATGACACAATCGCACAGGACAGGTCAAAAAGCTACAGAATTTTTAAGATGAGATTTTTCTCTGAAGATACTGCCCTACAACTTCAATACTGAATTGCTGCATGTCTCACAGAAGTCTTCATAACATACTCAGTAAATTTACTGTGTTAGCATGTGTTTTCTGATTTCATGTTCTAGAAATAACCAAGATGCGCCCTTTGAAAACAGGGTCTGGCAGTCTTAAACAATCCCCTTCACTCTTTCTGTCAAGCCTGGTAAAACCAGTGTCAGAGTTGGATACCTAAAAGAACACACATTGTCATGAATTACAGTACTGTCTAGAGTACTGTCAGTAAGATGTAAACTTAACTTGTATCTTAAAACTATTCCAAATAACGAGCACATCTACTTTTTCTTGTAAGTGAAGAAAACAAAGTATAACAATACATCCAGATGAGAACTGAACAGGAGTGTACTTGCAATGAAAACTGGCTGAGTCATATTTCGCTCAGTTCATAGTTGGGTTTTTTGACTGGATATGATTTTAATCTTAGTCTAGATAAACTTTGAAGCTTAGATGTTTTAAATGCCAGATGACAACTACATTTCATATCCTGAAGCTGCTTTTCAGAGTGAGTAAATTCCTTTTAAAATCGAAGTTAGGGAAACAAGTGTTCATAATATTTTAAAATCCAGACTGCTTTGATTTCTTTGTAGTGTTGCATATCTGAACTACATGTTTGGACCTGTGATCTCACAGAATACAGTCTTTCACTGTGCTTTACAGGCAGCATCGTACTAAATGGACACAAAACGGCAGCAGACCCATTCAAACAAGAACTTCAATATTTTCCTTGCTCTTCGGTGTTGAACTTAGAAATGAAAGGTAATTATACAGCAGGTTACTGTATGAGAGAAATCTGTATTTGCAACTGAATTAATCTGTTGCTCACTTGACTTTGTTGCTCTTTCTTCTCCTATGTTCTCACATAGGACTCTCTCCCATAAATTAAATATGTCTAGCCTAGGCTAGCTAGTCTAAAGCCCAGAAGCTGTTTTCATTCAGGCTGGAATCCTCTCCTTTGCCATCAGAGCAATGCATAAACCACTCTACTCCATTCTCTGTTGGTCTTCTGTTACTCTCCCACAATTTCCTGACATGAGCAGGGAAGGCTAAGTAAGGTCTCCCACAATTCACTATGAAAGAGCACAGACATCTTGCATTAAGTGAGGGGCCATTCACCGCACAGTTAATTGCAACAAAGACTTAGCCTCTACACTTGTCTGTAATGTTTCAGAAAAGAAAGTAGTATACAAGCATTATGACTATAAGATACAGC